ATTTTCCTTCAGTGTTTGAGATTACATGCACATAATATCTGGAACATGTTTGCAGATATTCTTTCTTTCTTTATTGGCAATGACTTTGACAATGATATTGTACTTCAAATAACAAATGTTCAGCTTGAACAATGTCAAGGTGATACCTTATCAAGCTGACTTACTACTGTGCTAATGCCCAGGGAATGAGAGAGGAAGAAATTTTGTATGTGGTTCAGTTCTAACATCATTAATCAAAGAGGTCCACAAGAGGGGAATTCGAAGATATTCCCAAAGGGGTCTGGGCATAACTGGCAAATAATTTGTTTCAAGCCTTGGTATAAGATATATTATATATAGATGGAGATATGCCTCTTTAAACATTTGAATTAGAAATGAAGAAAGAGTCACCATTGAATGTGATTCTTTAGCTGAAAATCGCTGCTTTGCCCTAAGGCTGTGTTTCAGAGTAAACAGTGATAGTTATGTAACGTGCAATGGTTCGCCAGCCACTTTCTCCAAAATGTCAAACCCCTCAGTCAGTATTGTAGGTAAAAACACCAGATAGATCTATAGGCTTGGCACTTTTTCCCTCTGTACATACTGTGTGTACCTTGCAATTACTTGTCAAGTACAAGTTTGCTGATAAATTATGATGATAGTTATAACAACAAAGCAGCTGTTATACACCTTGTCTGCATGGCAGCAAGGCTAATTTTAGCCCTGGACAACTGAACCTTGCCTGCCAGGTATGTGGCCGTGACCAAACCTAGGGTCACCCCCAGCCAGATTGTCCTTGAAATGTAGAAGGTCATCCCAGGGCCAGGGACCTGTTTTGTTGACATCCCTCATGACCTTTGACCTCCTGCCAGCAGGACTCCCCAGGGACTACTCTCAAAACAAGCAACCAATTACACAGCTGTCTGTCATGTGTCTGTTGATTAGGTGGTTGATTAACATAAAATCTACTACATATTGATCCACCCAAAATGATTTTGGGACAGAAAAACTGCATTTGTTAAGTCAATTTTCTGATCATTTTTTAAACAAGTACACCATTGCATATCATACTGATATTTGTAAAAAATGTGATGTTGCTGGCGGAAAACAGTTGCTTGTTTCGTAGGCCGGTTTTATTATTTATGGGCGGTACCCAAATTAAGAGGCACTTCATGTAGATTGTTGTTTTGTGTGCTTTAAGCATTAAGTGATGAACAAAAATGTGCAAAAATGACAGTAAATGTCATGTAAGCATCAGATTTCCTCATCCAGAATATTTCTTGTTCTGCATTAGATGCCTTGAAGTTTTTGGATCATGTACACATAGCAGAAACTCTACCTGCGTGGTAGTGTCAACTGCTGAAAATGTTTGGCTCTTTGTCAATAGCAGTCTTTGTGTGTTGTGGAGGAGTTGTTTTCTTGTTGAGTGTTATTTGGGGTCAGGCCATGTAGTATTGTTTATTGACAAGTGTATGAGTTGTTTACTTGTAATGAAGAGGACAGGCACTAAGCATGTTATGTTCTTATGATCTTGAATCGTAGGAAAACAAGTCTTTAGGAAATGTCAGTGTTATAATAACTTCAGGATATTTTTCTGTTAAGTGCAATGCTAATTTGTCTTTTGGCAACAAAGGTATCATGTTTCAAAACATTGACTCAGAGGCATTTGAAAAACACTTAACTAATGAATTGCAACATCAAACTTTTGGAGAATTCAAGTCTTGACATCTCATACAATTGAACCTTGTTTTAGATTTAGGTTTTGTTTGATTGGTGTGAGCCTTTGTTGATCCACAAAAAAATTGGCCTGCCGGTCATTTTTCGTTGAGGTCATGAGGGAAAAGGTAAGGGTCAAACAAAGTAAAACAAGCGACACTCCAGATACGTCGTTGAAGTCCTTACAATGGTTTATGGTCTTATCTAGTATATCAAAAGATTGAAAAAGTACTCTTTCCTCTATTCGTTATACTGTCATTTGGTCTACGAAATACCAGTTTTATACTAGATGACCACGTATTGCTCGCCAAGTTCTTTTTTTTTTCTTTTAGCCTAGTATGGATATTAATCCAGTAATTGATCAGTGTACTGTCCTAATATGCGTGTGACACTAGAAGCTTTAAGGCACTGATTAATTAGTGTAAATTGTCCTAATATGTTGTGACGCTGGAAGGTTTAAGTTACTGGTTATTCCCTTAGAGATTAATGGCTGATGTTATATAAGCTGTACCAAAAATAAAGTCACCTTTGCACAGTTGCTACGGGTACTGTAAATCTTGAAATGTTTGCAGTAGTTTTTTTGCCAACCTCTTTACCATGAATTCTTGACACTGGCATATGCATTTTCAGCAGCTGTACCACAGAATTCTTTTCAACCATGAACTTAGAAAATTACTACAAGTTCGTATCTACTATTACTAATGCATTCTTTCAAGTTCAAGGTCAGAGCTGCACAGCTTGCATCACCAAGGGACTGATATGACTCATTTGCAACTAACATCTGCAATGTCCTGCTTATGAATAATTAAGTACTTAGTCACAAAATACCAAGTAGCCAACTGTCATGTATAGTACTTTCATACATGAGAAACATGACATTTCCTTTTTTGATTAAAAATTAACATTTTTTTTTATTTCCACAGGAAACTCACACAAATGTCTACTTGGTCATGGAGGTATGTATCAGTTCTTCACACAAAACAAGCCAGAAAAACTAAAACAGGACTATTGATCGTACTAATAACTGTTCTGAAATAAACACCATAGTGGCCATTATTCTATCCTGCGTAGGCCAGGTGACAGTCAATACAACAAATAAGAATTCACTTACAACTACATTTTCTATATGTAAACCCAGTACATGGACCAGCACAGGTTAGGTGCAGGTAGACATAAGAAATACCTGCACAACCCTAATTTTACCTGCACTAATCTGCGTATGTATAATGCTTTTGGTATTTCGACCCCTAGAATAGTGCTATAACAATTAAAAGTATCATCGTTCGTCAGTCATTTGTAATTGGCGATTGATAATGACAACATACATGTATCTCAAAGTATGACAGCAAAACATGGCTGGGTCCCAAAAATGTGACCAAAACAAGAGTACAGAAAGCCTGGAATTGTTTGTTGATAAGTTCAAGGCAGTGTCACTTCTGACAGAAATAAATGCTACACTATTGACAGTTCTAACCCTGACCTTAAATACTCTGTCCTTACCCTACAGTACTGCAATGGTGGGGACTTGGCAGACTATTTGCAGGGTAAGTATTGCTGGCCAAAAATATGTTTTATATTTAGCTTCCATCTTGATTAGTAATATAGCTGTTGCAGTCTACAGTTACTGTAGTGTGTATGGAAAACTCTTGTGCCTTATGATGCAAAAGCAAAATGCAATGTAGAATGACATAGATCTAGTAATCTGTATGTAAAATTCTTTGCCATAGTGCAATCATTTGTTGTTAGTGTCTGATCAATGATATTCCCAAATGTGGGATTTAGTTGATCTGCGTACATGGTTGCTTTGCTCTCTCTCAACAGCAAAAGGCACCCTCAGTGAAGATACCATTAGGCTGTTCTTCAAACAAATAGGTAAGAAATTATAATGTTGTGCCAAATCGAAGAATTTGTTTTTCTCCTTGTGTTTCCCTTGTCTGTCTCTGTGCCAGACTTTGCGTCTGATCTGTTAGCTCAATCAAGCTTGGAGCACAGATATTTGTCATGCATGGAAAGTCATCCCCACAAAATGATAGCAGTAAACGGTTTCCAAGAAAATGCTGTTGTGTAACATGCTTCCTGTGGGGCTACGTTTAACCTTCTCCATGCTACATAATGCTGTAACCAATACAAATCTGGTGCCAAAATTAAATAGCAGGAGAGAGGGTAATCAATTTTGGCGCCGTAGCAGAACTTCATGTTATCAAAATGCATTTGCCCAGACTAGCTGATATGCATTCTATGTTTATGTACATTGGCTGTGGGTGATTTTCAGTGACTCACAACAAAACTGTAAGAATTGACAGGATGCAAGTTATGGGTCAGCTCAGTCTGTATTAGATTAGACCTTGCTGATTCAGTGTTGACTTTATCATGTGCTCATCTAATTGCCTTTTAACTTTGCCTACAAATAAAGGTTGGAAATGGAAAAGCTGTTTGCCCTGATTTCATACCTCAAGATACCTTGATTTGAGATGCACTTACGTCAGTGAAAAGCTGTAAAATATAATTATGCCATTTTCTGTTGCTCAAACCTGTAACCAATACAAATTTGATGCCAAATGTCTACTGATGGTTAAGCTTTTTAGTCTTATTTTCTGGCCACTTGCTTTCTTCTCAAAAACACCTCTCTGGTCCCCCATTTGTCTGTCTGTCATAATTGAATATGCTGCTAGAATGTCAAGTAGGTCTTTAATAAGCACACGGCATCAAGGCACCCTCTTCAAAGGCTAATGTGGCCACTAAATACTCTGGAGTAATGGTTTACTGTGCAATTAGCTGATCTGTCTGGCGCGACGTATTCTTTACCATTAGAGAATCAGCGTACATATTAATTACATGGTACAGTGCATGGTGGAACATTTAAGCTGACGCAGGGACAAAAGATGTGCACTGTCATAGTACAAAACAAGAAATTAAAGGTCTCTTACCTCCGCAAAATATTTTTTGTGATATTTTGTGAATATCTCTGATGTGTTTGATACATAAATTTGTAAAGGCATGTGAATTTAACTTGTTGACTTTATTCCCGTCAGCCTCTGCTATGAAGGCTCTCCATGCCAAAGGTATCATCCATCGGGACCTCAAGCCTCAGAACCTGCTACTGTCTCACTCAAGACCCAACCCTGCACCTCAAGACATCAAGATCAAGATAGGTCAGTCAGCTGATGGACTTAAGATTGCTGTGCAGAACATATGTTGATAATTCTACATAGTTATACTGTTCTAAATGCTAAAATGTGATCTAATGTTACCACCCCTGCCGCAGTACATGGTCCTGTCCTTAGTGCTGAAATGTGGTCCTATCCTACCACTGCTACAGTGCATGGTCCTGTTCTTAGTGCTGAAATGTGATCCTACCCTCCCACCCCTGCTACAGTACATGGTTCTATCCTTAGTGCTGAAATGTGGTCCAACCCTACCACCCCTGCCACAGTATATGATTCTGTCCTTAGTGCTGAAATGACGACTTGTAAGCACTTGGCTTTTTTAAAGAAAGCAAAATGCACAGCAGTCTATGCCTACCCTCTGGTATATGAAATCATGTATTTTCCTGCAGAACAACAACAATTTATTGGATATAGGTAATGAATTTATAAGAAGTATTAAGTTATTTTGGTGTGCATTATTAACAGTTTTATTCTGTTCCCTCTGTTCACAGCTGATTTTGGATTTGCAAGGTACCTGCAGAGTAACATGATGGCAGCAACTCTGTGTGGCTCCCCCATGTATATGGTAGGTTACACATACTTCTTTAATCAAGTGGTTCAAATTCTGAAGCAGAACCTTTACAATATCACTTCCTTCCATTTCTTTCTAATGATAGACACAGCAAATGTAGTCGGTTTATGTAATACCCATGTGCCATATATCCACATAGAGGACCACTTAATAAGTCTTACACTTAATATGTACTTTAGGCATTTCATCCTGGATGAAATTGACAAAGTGCTACTTCTGAGTTTTTTTGCTAAAAAATATCACCATATGCTGTAGGCTTAAGGAGAAATGGGTGAAAATGCTGCAGTAGTTTAATTTTCAAACTATTGCACCTGTTCCTTCTCAAATCTGTGAATTATGGCATGATCAGTGCATGGGTGAATCTGACAATGTATGTGACCGTGTCTGTATACATGACGTGTATCTCCCCAGGCCCCAGAAGTGATCACCTCCCAGCACTACGATGCCAAGGCAGACCTGTGGAGTATCGGCACCATCATGTTCCAGTGTCTCACAGGCAAGGCTCCCTTCCAGGCCTCCAGTCCACAGGGACTCAAACACTTCTACGAGAGAAACAAAGTCCTCATTCCAAAGTAAGTATGGAAGACGTGCTCATTTTTACTACTGTATTACTGTATTGGTTCGACCATAAACAAATTAATTAAGAATAACCAATACCAGATTATTAGTTCGTCAACTGACCTGACCAACTGTGAAACATTGTTTTCCCCACAGTTTGCCAGCAGGCACCTCCTCAGCCCTTCGAGACCTTCTCACTAAACTGTTGAAAAGGAACCACAAAGAGAGAATGGACTATGGTAGGAATGTCTGAAATTATCCCGATGTACAGTAACTTCAGCATAAACGAGTAGTTTGCAATGACAACTGATAAGATTTAGCAGTCATCTATTTTTTCATAAAAAAGAACTTGTGTAAATCTTTATATTTCTTCTACTTGATGACAAGAGAAATCTTCATTAATGTTAGTAGTAATGACTTTAATCTTGTTGTTTCGTTACAGAGGAATTCTTTGTCCATCCATTCATCTGTGGCAGTCCTACCAAGCCCAGTAAGTTGCTTTGTGTTATAAGACAGCCTGTCAATGAAGTTTGCTGTGTCCTTATCCATATATACTATAATTTTCTGACAAAAAAAGCAGAATTTGATATGTATTTTTTAACCAAAGGGCATAGAATCTTCAGGGGGCTTTATGAATCCAAAGAATGTTGCAAATTGAAATTTAAAGGTTAGGTAGAATATTTAGGTGGCAGACTTTTTAATTGAAATGCAGTGAGTAAGTCAGTCAGTTGCAACAGTCTAAATGGTCACAGTTTCATTTCAGTTGGAACATGAGAACAAATTAAGTGCGCTGGTTGTTTTTCATTTACAAAAGATTTTGAAGAATTAGGTGACAGCATTCTTGAGCTAGGTGAGTTTTTTCCTCCTTTTTTCGTGTTTTTTTTTTTTTTCATTTTTTCTTGGTCATTTTTTTTCTTTTTTCATTTTTTTGGCCATTGCAGTACTTGGCCATCCAGAAATGGCATCTTGTTCATCAATAGATTATACTGTGATTATCTTGAAATGTTTGCATTGGTTTTCTTTAAATTTATGGTGACCTCTCTACAGTGAGTTCATAACAATCTATTACTACAGAACTCTACAGAATTGTTTCAACCATGAACTTAAACCACTGCAAAAACCTCATTTTCCTACAAAAATAAATGAAAGACCCATGAAAGGCATGTGCAGTAACAGTGTTGTGTCTCTGTTGTTACAGCGTCCCCTGTCCCAGTCCCCCTGCGCCACACATCCTCCTCCAGCTCACCCAGCAGCAAGTCTTCAGCCTCACCTGCCCCCCTCCCCATGGGCAGCTCTCCTCTGGTACGCTTCTACTCATCTTCTAAGTACAGACAACCCTGTACAAGTCACAGCCTCCACATAGGAGCTACCTCCCAACATGACCATTTTTGGTGGTCCCTTAGATAAATTTTCCCATTGACACAAGCATTAAAAATCATGTCTATAGTGACCTCTTGTCCATATACCAGCAAGCCAGATTTTATCGGTCCCCAGAGTGGTCTTTTGTGGGCAGTTCTGACAAAAAATCTTTGCCCACATGCATCTGATGACTTTTTGTGTCAATAGTGAAAGAAGAATTTTTGCTCTTTTTTAAAATCAAATTTTATACTGCAGACCACTTTTGGGCACTGGAAGTTGTAGTTGACTATCAGATGGTGACTAAGAGATGGTGGTAAACATTGATTTTGAAGGCTTTTGAGTTGAGAGGGAAACAGGAGAGAGAGTTCCATAATTCTTCAGTCTGTGGAAAGAAGTTCTTGCTGTAGAATTTGGACTCTGAGACTGGTGTGTTACTGGTGTGTTATGCCGAAGGACTGTTAAACCGGCTATACCGATACAGATACAGGTACATGTATTTAGACGGTGCCATGATGTGAGCTCTTCCAAATTTTCCCCAGACGGCCGCGGGCAATCTGAGACCGCGGGAAACCCCAGACCTGCTGAGCTCGCCCCAGGAGCCGCCCAGCTTCCTGGACGTGTCGCGGGACACACAGAGCAGCAAGTCCTCGTCTGACCAGGAGGACTTCGTCATGGTCCCCACCAACCTGCCCTCAGACATATCAGGTACACTACAGAACACAAGACTCATACTGCCATTATAGGAAAACTGTACAGTCAGGAGCAAATGGTAAATTTTTAGGTAAATTTTGAACCTGTGCGTAACTGAAATCCTCTGAACAGTCGTTTTGTTTGTTTTTCCAGCTGAAGGTCACTTGTCACGACCACGAGGCCTGGAGAGTGCCTACAGGTAAATTTCCCCTCATTTTATCTGAATTATTAGTCAAGAATTGTGCTTTCTTCACAGCGGTCAGGACTCTTAGAGTGCCGTCTTAATCTTCTTCATAGGTTAACAGCTCTCAATTTTATTTACTTTCTAGGTTTTTCTGAAAAAAATCAGAACGTAGGCAATAACTTGTTCCCCTGGTATTCTCCCACAGTGCCTCTCCTCCCCGTGTGTCAGCGACTCCCCCTAGCAGAGCGCAGGCTCCCGTGGCTGTAAGAACAGACTCCAGGTAAGAACCACTGACTTTGCCTGATTCAGAAGGTTGTGATCATTTTGGACTGCTGTTCACATGGTTTTTAGTATAAAATCTGACTGGAAGTGATAGGCTTAAGGATCCATTTAATGACTAATCTAGGATTAACATCAACTCGTTTCTCATCAACTCCAGACCATCCAGTCTGCCTGTTCACAACCCTGTCCACCCCCCTACCGGCAGCATGGCAGAGCCTGTCCCCGTACCCTCGCAGCTTGAGGCGTACCATGTGATCCAGCAGCGGAGGGGGTCCCTCCCCTCCCCCAACACCCCTCCCTCCCCTGCCAGGAGGGGTTGTGGTACCAGCCCAGGTGGACAGTATTCCAGCCCAAAGTTAGCAGCACCTGGTGTACACAGGGACAAGGTGAAAACTTTTT